CCCCACGGAGCAGGTGAGTTTGCTGGCTCAATTCCTTGATCTCTCTCGGATGCCCTGATGTTGGCCCTCTGCTTCTCTCCAGCACAAGCAGTAGGCTGGTGGCAGGCTGTGACCTATCAGGGAAGGTATGTCTGCACAGAGCTCGAGTGCCCCTATGGTCCAGAAAGCAGGCAGCATTGCCACCCTGCAGGCATCCCCCAACCGCCTGACTCTTGAGCGCTCCGTCTCCACCATGCTTGGGAACGAGGGCTTCCCTGCCTTGTTTTTGGGTCCAATGCTGACAGCAGGAGTGAGCGAGGGGCCCTCTTGCCTGGCAGCACACTCAGGAGGACCATGGAAGTGGTATAGACATGTGCCGAGTCTCTGGGGAAGGGCTGCGCTCCCCAAGGAAGTGTTTGAATATATACAATGCACTTGCTTCCCAGTGCCTGCTGCATTGTACTGTGCTGCATGCCTGAATACTACTGCCCCCATCTAACAGCTAGGCAAGACTCTTCTGTAGCTCAGAGCTGCAGGCTTGTACTTCCCCAGCAGAAGACACTGGGCTTGTACCTGCTGTGTGCTGTCTGCATGTGACATCAGTGATGCTGGGAAGCACTTTCACTGCACCAGCAGTTTTCCAGATGCATCTTTGTATGCAACTAAAGCATGTGTGCTCTCTCTCCTTGCAGCAGCCTGAAGACAGCCAGGGCTACTACTCAATCAGGTACATGTGCCTGTCCCCACCGTGGTACTGCTAGCAACCTGATAAAGGGATTTTCTGTGCCCTGTGGGGACGTGAATCCTGTGAACATCAGCATGCATGAATGAATAGAAGCAGGGCAGGGCCCTGGATGGAGAAGGGCAGAGAACACGTGGCATGGAATATACTGGGACCACACACATCCCTGGTTCCCTAGATCCCCCTTCCTCCAAGTGTTCATCTGCATGCACTACACATGTATGCCGGTGCACATGGGCTGGAGTATCTGCTGCAGGGCAGAAAGCAATATGCCTCCAGGGACAGGGGCAACCTGTACAGAGCCTCTGTGGTTGGACATGCAGGGCCCAGCCTGCTGCAGCACAGGAAAGGCAATGAAGGCAGGGGCCTCCATCTGCCCTGGGGCCCAGCAGTACATGCTGTGTCAAAGGAGGAGAGGGGAAATAGTGTGTGTGAGATGAGGAGCTTCTTGGCAAGGTCCGACCTGCTGGACACAGGAGGAGAATTGCCGCAATGGACAAACAATAAAGCTGCTCAACTCCCATGTACACTAAGAGTGGGTCACCTTTCCTGGCCCCACTGTGGTCCAGGGATGCATGCCAGCCTGCTGCTCCCCTCTGTGTCTGTGGCACTGCTCTGGGCAGCCCCAGGTGTTTGCACTTCCCCCATAAGCCTTTCAGGGTGGCCAATCAACTGTTCTCCCAGGAGTAACCAGCACTGTGCCTGGCAAGCACCTACTGTGATGGGAGCACCCCCTCCATCCCCACAGGGGCACAGGAGAATTGAGGTACTCAGCACCCAAAGGTGCATGTAAATAAAACCCTTTGGGGGCGTCAATAGCAGGACAGACACATGCAAAACTGGAGGGACTCCTTTGAAATGAGCAGCATTCCCAATCCACACAGATTTGGAGCTGGTGGCTCTCCTAGCTGGTTCACTAGGGATCTAGGAAGCCAGAGGCCACCATGGATCAGTTCTCTAACTAACTCCAGCCGTGGTCTCCTTCCAGACCTGTACTCATGCAAGCCATGTACGAATTCGAGGCCAGGAACCACAAGGAGCTGTCAGTGAGGAAGGGAGACATGCTGGAGGTAAGGCACCAAGAGACTGTCACAGCCAGAGCCAAAACCTCAACAGCTGAAGCACAGGTGCCTGGGGATGGGCCTGTCCCGGTGCTCTCTCTGCGAGGCACCGTGCACCTTCACTGTGCTCCTTATAGTCAGGGAGGCAGGGTGGCAACTAGTATGTCAAAACAGGCAAGCTGTCAAAAGCACCATGGCACTTGGACTAATGACCTGAGATTGCTGCCTATCAAGAAGTGATAGGCATGCACATGAGCAGAAAAAGTACTGCTAGCAAAGGATTTGCTCTTGCCAGTGGGCACAGGGTCCAGGAGTGGAGCTGGATTTTAATCAGGCAGGTAGGCTGACCATACAGAAATCCAGGGCACTGCCACCCCACACCTGCAAGCGGCTCTGCGCCATTCTCATTCCTGGCCAGACTGCGCCTTGTGCCCCTGTGTTTCTGAGACACCCTTTATAAATCCTGACAGCCAGCCAGGACCAGCTTCTGAAATCCAGGACTGTCCCGGCTAAAACAGGACATATGGTCACCCTACTAATAGGACACCCAGCAGCACCTGTTCACTAGTGATGCATGTTTGGGTCTCACAAGAATAGCATGCTGATGCCCAGGCAGAGTGGGAAGGAAGTGACACTCCCATCCTATGGCTGCAATCACGGGCAAGGTTGGCTGGATGCAAGGACCCCACAGGCTAATGCATTATGTGCTAGGCCTTGCACTAAATGAAGGTCTCTGTTCTGGGCAGGGGAAGGGGGTCAGGTGCAGTGACCATGCTCCCAGGAGCACGATCCCCGGTCTCTGTTAACAGGGCACAGTAGCTTTCACTTGCTTGCTGCCAGGGCTCATGCAGGCTGATTTTTGACTGTCCCATGTCCCTTGGCTCAGGTGCTGGACCAGCGGAAGAAGTGGTGGTTCGTTCAAAACAGCATGGGCGAGAGGGGCTACATCCCCAGTAACATCCTGGCTCCCGCAGATCAGGAACCATCTGTAGAGAATGGCTTGAATCAGGTGGGACCTTCTTGCTCCAGCACAGCACTGAACTGCACTGCATTGCCAGAGCTAGGCCCTCGCTCTTGAGCTTTGACAGGGGAGATGCTTGGCTTATAGGGAGGTTGTTTCCAAGCCTTCATGTGCATCCTTTGCCCAGCACACACCTAACTTGACATAAAGGATCCTGTCCTGGGACCACCAACACAGAAAGAGCTCTTATACCTGCAGCCACTGTGGGGGGCACAGCAGAGGGTAGCATATGCCTTTGCCCATCAGAGACAGTGGTTTAGCTTGCACCAGTGTTTACCATGACTCCCCATGCCTTCCTCTCTTTTGGATCCAGGGTCCACAAGAGCCCCCCAGCCTGACGCTGAACTCCACAGCAGCAGAGGTGACCGAGTGGCTGAAGGACAAGGGCTTCTCCAAGATGTAAGTGGGCTCCATCCCTAAACACAGGAACCTCTTTGTTAAGGCCCTGCTGGGGGGGAGAAACAGAGGGACCCTGAAAAGGAAAGAGACTGGGCTTAAGAGGCCTTTGCAAGTGTATGGTGAAAGCTGAAAGCCACAAGCCATTTTTGCCCTATCCCCTAGCAAGGGACAATCCTTGTCTGGTGCAACGAGCTCCCCCCCAGCTCTATCCCTGGTCCCACACCAGCATCAATCCTGAAGCTGCCAGTTCACCTCATGCCCACTAATTCCTGGAGCCCCAGGTCAGCAAATGCACCAGCTCTGCAGGCAGCTTCCCCATCACGTGCGTCAAGGGGCCAGGCCCGGAGCAGGGCCCATGTAAGAAGCTGACAATCCAGTTCAGCGGCGGCACTGACAACTGAGAACAGGAACAGCAGTGAAAATAAAGAAATGCAAACTGCCGCTCCAGGCTGAAGCCAAGCTTAGTTTCATTTCCCACCACTTCTGTGAACTGCAGTAACACTGAAAGGAATTTGGAAACAGAAAGTCGTTTCAATTGACAAACGAAACAAGGTCTTGGCAGTTGCAAGAGCTGGGATTCTTTGGGCTTTTTCAAAATAGTTTTGCTCCCTTTTCCAGGATCCCTTCTATACCCCCCTCATTCCCAGCCCCACCTCAGCAGAAAAACGAGCGTGGGAGATGTTGCAATCCTCCTGAACCTGTTTTTGCCAAAAAAATATCCCCATCTTTCCCCACCTGAGCAAAGAGCCATTGGCACAGGGAGTTTGCAGCCAGAGGAGCTAGTCAGTCCCAGGAGCAAAATACAGCTCTTCCCCCCCATCCCCACCTGCAGCATAGGACAAACAGCAATCCTCGCCCTTACCTCCTCGAAGCATAGCTGGTCATCCCAAGCCCAAATATTGCCAGCATCCCTCAAGCTGAGCTGAGCGTGGCACCAGTTAGGGTTTCTGGCCTGTAACAGTGCTGGATCGCTGGCCTCAGCTGATCCATCCTAGCAGCTGTTCCCACTCTCTCATACATGTTGTTTGTCCAGCTGCGTTTTCCCAGGGGCAGACGGGCCTGCACGCATCTTTGTTGCAAGGACAGAGAGGCCTCACAACTCAGGCCGTACTCGCCTTTCAGAGGTGTCACTGATAGCTGGGGCTGAGGAAGACAGCATCCTTCCCCATACTGCCTGTTCCCCTCTTCTTCCCCTCCTGTGGGGGCCTACTAACCCTCCCCTTGCTCTCTGCCACAGCACGGTGAAGGCCCTGGGTGTGCTGACAGGGCGCCAGCTGCTAGCGATGAGCCAGGATGAACTGAAAGTCATCTGCCCAGAAGATTGGAGACGCGTCGTCTTCAGGCTGTCAGCAGTTAAAACCTCCCTGGGGGTGAGTTTTCCCTGCAAACTTTCCAGTAAAGGCAGGATACAGCCCCCCAGTTAACAGTACCCTGCTCAGGGTGCAGTCTCACTTCCTAGGTACAGAGGGGCTCTCTGAATGCCCAGGTAGACTGGCCCATAGGACAGGCAAGAGAGATGCCAGGCTGAGCAAACAAGAAGGCCACAGCCTGCAAGAGAGACCTTATTTTGGGTACTTCTGGTTGGGGGTCCAAGTCAACACATGAGGCTCCATTTCCAAAGGCTGCTCAATATCTGTGGGCATGGGGGATCCTCTGTGCTTCCTGAAGACTTGGACCCATGTCAGAGCACCTGCCCCAGAAATGTTTTGCCCAGGATCAGAGCATGAAGCAGTAGCAGAGCAGAGATCATAATTCCTGCTAATGGGCCCTTGCCAGACAGCAGCTGTTAACAATACCTGCTTTGAAGGATGAAAGGACCTTACATCCCAGGACTGATAGGAAGAGGGAGAGATGTATGCACAGTATGTTAATAAATGAGTTTTGCATGACCTCAGCTGTTTAGGGCAATGGTTTAGGACCAGGGAGACATGCACTCAATCCTGTACTCCAGCAGGCCTCCTGGGGATGGGCAGAGAACTTGCACAAGGTACGCAGACCTAGATCCTCAGGCACATTGAATCAGGGGCCTAACAGCTTTGAGGACCTGGGTGCCACTCTCCCCCTGGGCCTTAGCATGCTTTTTTCTGCAGATAGGGTCAGAGCACAGCCCCGTATCAGTTTCCAGGTAGAAGCCAGTGGAGACCACAAGGTGCTCAGGTACTGCGGTAGAAGAGATTCTAAGCTCCCCAATTATTGGGAAGCTACTGGAGTCAGCCACAAGCTTTCACAAGCTGCCCTTCCTAAAAAAAAAAAATTGCAAACCTTAACTCTAACTAAAACCTGATTTTTTTTTTAAGTTTGCTAAAGAGAGGGAAATAAGAAGCCCCTAGTCCATCCATGAACCCCTAGGGTTGGAAGGGACCTCAGAAGGTTATCCAGTCCAACCCCCAATCTCTTCCATGTCCTTTTCTCATTGCTGTGGCAAAACACAAGGTGGGAAGAAAGGAAAAGCCAAGTTTGTAAAGCTGTAAACATTCAGGTAGACAAGGTTTCAAGTGCACAAAAAAAAAGTGGTTTCCAATACTTGAACATGGGTCGATGTCCGGAGTCCCACAGTTCTACTGGCAGTGATGGCACAGCGACCACCAGGGAATTACTGGTGCTGGCCTAGTCTGTGGCTTTGCACTGATCCCAAGGGTGGGCACACATCCACATCTCTTACTCTAAGGCCTTAGCAGAGGTTTTGCACTGGGCTATCTGATAACCTCTTCTTTTTTCCCCTTGTTGCAGATGAACCCTTATGATTAGCAGGCTCCCTATGCCACTCACCGCCAGCTGCAACAGGTCGAGGGGCTTGCAAGGACCAGAAGAGACTGAGCTCTGGGACACCTCAATAGCAGATCTCTCCTAGATCAGCAACCTTATTGCTCACCTTGGATTCTATACATAAGTTTCTCCTCCCCTTGCATGCAGGTTAGGCTTGTGATTGCTAGAGATTCATCTTTGCTACAGCCTTGTCAGGCTATTTATTCTGTGTAGGACACTCCTTGGCCTCCATTAAGGCCAGAGACTGCTGCTAACATGTTATCTCCCCTAGTTATTAAGATACCAGAACTAGAGAGAATTTCTGCCCCATTGCCCCAGCATTTAAGCGAATGGTTCTCAACCTTTAAGACCCACCCCCCAACAGAAAACACCAGCTTTTAGTTTTCACTCACTTGTCAACTATGGGGTAGGGGAAATAGTAAAGCAGTTAGTCTGCAGCAAAGAAATCAGAAACAGCACAGCAGGTCAGAATGCTTTTGACACTATACATTCCTGTTTGAAATCTCTGGGTTTACCTTGTGACTCGTGTAGATGCTTGCACACTGAAACAGTGCGAATATTGTGCATCACCCTTAAAAGGAGCTGACAGCACCCTGCTTGAAGGCTGGCTCCATGACGGCACAGCACCGACATGGTGCTTTAGTGTACAGAGCTGAGCTGTGGCTCTTGCAAGCTGCTGTAGGCCCCACCACAGTGATAAGTCATAGCACTTTTCTACCACTACCAGAAATTAAATCCCCACCTATTTACTAGAGAGCATTGCCCACCCCCACCAAATCCTCCTTTAGGAAAGAAGCATCCCCTTGGAGAGAAAGTGGGGGAGGTCCTTATCTTAATACTGAGTGCAAAAGGGAAAAGCAGATGCAACCTACTTAAAAACATTTTGAAATCCAGTTGTCAGGTCTAGTTTGTCCTTTCTGCTGTCCGAGCCCCCAAGGGTGGAAGGCTCCTATACAAATTCAGAGATCCGATGTGCAATAGTGGAAGTTGTGTAGGACAGAAAGCCACAGTAGCAAGAAAACTAGTCCAAAGTCTCTCCCTTATGCTAGGACAGGCTCACACCTGCAGAGATAAAATGCCCCTGAAAAGATACCCAGTTCTCACAGGTGCTTTTACTCTACAGTCACCTAAGGCTGAGGTATTGCCTAACTGGATAAAACAAGTGTTGCAGAGACTTTGTACCTGGATGTTTTATTTATAGCCTCAAGTTGTTGACTCTACAAGCAATAAAGACAAGGAATCAGCAGCTCACTTGCAGTGTTTGAGGAAGTGAATAAATAGCTTTTGTCACCACGCTGGTGGGTGAGAGTCTCAGCCTGCTGTGGTGTCTTCTGGCAGGCACAAAGCTGAAAAAGTC